GACGGTGGTGACAGCAGCGGCAATCCACCTGTCACTCAAGTGGCCACGCCCTTAATTATGCAGAACTTTAAGGCTTAATATAATTGAAGTGGATGAGTTATAAAAAATTCACCCCCCTCACAGTTGTCATGAAGGGAAAAATTAGCTATATAGACCACAACCACTTTTTGTACCAGGCTGTAAACATTATTTTTCTGCTACAAACTTTCTGTTATGACAAAACAGACCATAAATATTGATGAATCATCTTGCAGGTTTGTATTTTTTGTCCAATAAAAGGTTCTCTATAATGAGAATGTCCTCTAAATTGAATATATCATGTGTTTTCAACAAGCAATAGAAAGTAGTCGTGGTTGGTGGGTCATGCTTTATTTTCTTTCCCAACCATCAAGTGGCAAAACAAATGGTTTGTTTTGAACGTATATTTACTGTTTTAATTCATGATACAACTCAAGTGTGATTTGATCAGGCCATGGCATAAAATATGGGCTATTTTAAAAAAGAAATGAGCCCTTCAATGTGTTCCTCCCTAACTTCCTGTTTCAATATCAGAAATAAGGCTGGGTATTTCCACAGATTAAATTAAATTTGATTCTGATCTTGACTCGATTTGCTATCAATTCATTTGGATATATCAGTTACAATAGAGGGAACTACACTAAACTACAGGGAACCCTGCCAGTTGGTATTTAAAATGACCAAATTCAATTCAATTGGAATTTATAACACACACACACACACACACACACACACACACACACACACACACACACATATACAAACATTCAAATTGCACATCATTCATTCATTCATTCATTCATTCAATAACTAATAAGTTAGTTTATAATAAAATTGAATTTGAATTTGACACTCATATAAAAAGTTACAATACTGAATATGTAAGAAACAATATTGTGATTGTTAAAAAGAGGATAGATTCATATCTATTAATTTATATTGTCAAACCAGACCTAATAGGAAATACATTAAAATCCACTTACCAAACAATTTCATTTTTTTTCTTTTTGTTTTTGCTGAGAAAATCTGGCAGTCTAACTGAGAAAATTATTACCCTGTGGGGGGAAATCAGTGTTTCTCGTACAAATGTCCCATGCCCTTGAGCTAATTTGACATTTTCTGGACAGATGTTGTTCTGAACAGTTCTCTGATCGCCTGCAGAATGTTGACTTGAGCATTCAGCGTAAAAAATAGCCTGCGGTACTCGGCCATTAGCATTTCCTCTCTGCGTATGTTATTTTTGGCTACACCTAGTGTGCACTTAACAGTTAAAGAATGATTTATAAATGTCAAGGGGTGTCATTTTTTATTGTGACTGGTAAAAGTGGAGAAGCAGCAGCATGACCAATCAATTTTTCTCAGTAACAGCAGTTGTCAATTTAGATTTGTGTTGTTAGAGCTGATTACAAGCACTCCTCATACAGATCTATAATGCTTTGTGCTGTAGGCAGGATTGAGCAGGAAGGAGAAGGGGGAGCGAGGGAGGATTCGTTGTTGAGTATGCGGTCACCTGGGGTGGCAGGGATCATCTGAAGAGAGGGGTTTTGATCGATATTACTGAGGGACAGAAATGCGATAAGTTCCACTGATAATTCTCTCTGCACGTGGTCTCAAGCACCATTCATACAGTATGCTGTAAACATCAGTACTCTGCAACATATTTTACTCAAGGATGACAAAAAAAAGTGGTACTTACCGTACATGTACTTTCAGTTGCACACTAGTGGTACATAAATATACTGCCACATTTCGGTATTATCAGCAATGTCTGATAATCGTACCCACTTGTTACCTCCTCATAGCGTCAGTTCTCTACCAACAATCTTGTCAGCGAATAATCTGATTTCTGTGAATTTTAAGTAAAAATAAACCTATTGACAGACATGTATTCTCACTGTATGGAAAAGAGCAGCTTCAACATTTGATTCTATAGTAAAGGAAAAATCAAATGAGTTTGAGCTACATGAGTGTGGGTAGATGGTCACAAAATGTTGTATTTAATGCAAATGATCTGCAGGAGGTGCAAATTAATATAACTCACCAAATTTTTGGTCTCATTTAAATGGCCATGACACGTTTGTCTATTAAAGGGCACCTATTATGCTTTTTTTGGTTTGACCTTTCCTAATATAGCTGGTTGTGCATGTAAATGATCTGCACAGTTACAAAACACAAACTCCACACCAAAGGGAGTTCATCTCTCAAACAGAAAATAATAAGACTTTCGAATAATGGTCCATCAGTTTATAAATAACTATGCAGGAAGTAATGCGGGACAAGTGAGTAAAACAACCTTAAGCTACTTATTCTGCTTCAGCTACTACTATTAACTAATATAGAAACAGGATTAACTAATCAGTAAGTAATAGCGAATTTAGGACTGTTCCATATTAGGTAATTACTTAATGAGATTAAATTTATTAAGGTGCACTATGTAGGATTTTCGTTTACTGTTTGTAAACATTCAAACTGGCATGCAAACTTGATGGGCGGGCTTAACACTGCCAGAAGCCACACCCCTTGCCCCTGACACGACATCAGTTACCAGAACAGACACAGTCCAACCAGCAGCAGCATCACATGAGACAGAGAAGATGAATGATGATGTGCATTGTCTATACTTTTTTGGGGATTTATATTTTTTGAGAAAATCCTGCATAGTGCACCTTTTAATAACTATAACAAATTATAAAGGATTATCAGTTAATTACTAACCACAATATAAATGTGTCTGGGATGTCAGCAGTTGTCTTTTTTACCGTGAACACGGTCATAAAATGCACCGCTAATTACTCATGTTACCTGGTTTCTCTGCAGGAGCTACCAGTAATCTGGATGCATCAAGGTTGACAAAATATTATTGTTGACAAGAGAACATCATTGTTTATATTCATATCATAAATAGGTGAAATCCTCCATAGGCTGCTCCTAGTGTCCCTTACAGTAGACTGTTCAATAACTGGGTAAGACATATTATTGAGGGAGGTTTGCCTCAATAATCTCCTATTTTCCTGCTTATTAATAGTAAAGTAGCTGTTAAATTTAGGTATGGGGTAGAATTAAGGGATTTAGAATATTGTCATGCAGAATAAGACATTAATATGTGCTTTATAAGTACTAATAAACAGCCAGTATGCTAGTAATATGCATGCTAATAAGCAACTAGCTAATACTGAGAATTGGGCCTTTATAAGATTATATAAATTTATATAAAATCAATATACATTTGTGATCATGTTGCTTTCTAGAAAAACAGCATCTGATAATTCCTATACCAAATGTTATAAATACAGGGGCTTTTATTTCATTTCATTTAATTTCATTTTATTGCATTGCACTGCACTGCTTTTTAGTCCAGATCACTAGTAGATCCTGCAGAGTAACTAGATAACACTTAAGTGGTGCATTTTATGACCATGTTCACAGTGAAACAGGCAATTCTCAGTTTACTCATTTTAAGTAATTATCGTGTTCAGTAATTACTGATTACCTAATAAGGAACCTCAGTCCTAAATAGGCTATTTTTTACTGTTTAGTCAGTCCTGTTTCCATATGAGTTAACAGTAGTAGTGTTAATGTAGAACTACTTATTTGTCTTGCATGACTTCATGCATAGTATGGACTTCCAATAGCACAATATCGAACTATTTCAATAGTGCAATAGCTTAGTTACCATAGATATAATACTGTTTACAGCTGCCCCTGAAGCTGAAACCAAATCATGTAAATGTATTCTAATAAAAATGACGAACATGTAATTGAGCATAATATGGACACTTTAATATATTAGCCACTGTGTAGTGAGAAAAGAGCCTGGATTGGTCAATTAAAAATCAGTTGCCACCGTGCATCACACAATCACATAATGGCACATGCCCCAGACTTTGCATGTTGTAAGGTAGGCACTTACCCAGTTTTGGCAAAGTTTGTCCAGTAGGTCATGACAACAGCACTGAGCATGACATCATTTTTGGAGAAGTTGCAGGGGAACAGGTCGGTCGGGCCAATCATGGGAATGCCAAAGACATAGGGCACCTCATCTCCGTGGGCCGCATCGGTTTGCCTCAATAATCTCCTATTTTCCTGCTTATTAATAGTAAAGTAGCTGTTAAATTTAGGTATGGGGTAGAATTAAGGGATTTAGAATATTGTCATGCAGAATAAGACATTAATATGTGCTTTATAAGTACTAATAAACAGCCAGTATGCTAGTAATATGCATGCTAATAAGCAACTAGCTAATACTGAGAATTGGGCCTTTATAAGATTATATAAATTTATATAAAATCAATATACATTTGTGATCATGTTGCTTTCTAGAAAAACAGCATCTGATAATTCCTATACCAAATGTTATAAATACAGGGGCTTTTATTTCATTTCATTTAATTTCATTTTATTGCATTGCACTGCACTGCTTTTTAGTCCAGATCACTAGTAGATCCTGCAGAGTAACTAGATAACACTTAAGTGGTGCATTTTATGACCATGTTCACAGTGAAACAGGCAATTCTCAGTTTACTCATTTTAAGTAATTATCGTGTTCAGTAATTACTGATTACCTAATAAGGAACCTCAGTCCTAAATAGGCTATTTTTTACTGTTTAGTCAGTCCTGTTTCCATATGAGTTAACAGTAGTAGTGTTAATGTAGAACTACTTATTTGTCTTGCATGACTTCATGCATAGTATTGACTTCCAATAGCACAATATCGAACTATTTCAATAGTGCAATAGCTTAGTTACCATAGATATAATACTGTTTACAGCTGCCCCTGAAGCTGAAACCAAATCATGTAAATGTATTCTAATAAAAATGACGAACATGTAATTGAGCATAATATGGACACTTTAATATATTAGCCACTGTGTAGTGAGAAAAGAGCCTGGATTGGTCAATTAAAAATCAGTTGCCACCGTGCATCACACAATCACATAATGGCACATGCCCCAGACTTTGCATGTTGTAAGGTAGGCACTTACCCAGTTTTGGCAAAGTTTGTCCAGTAGGTCATGACAACAGCACTGAGCATGACATCATTTTTGGAGAAGTTGCAGGGGAACAGGTCGGTCGGGCCAATCATGGGAATGCCAAAGACATAGGGCACCTCATCTCCGTGGGCCGCATCTGACCAAGCGGGCTTCATCAGGCTCTGGCAGTGGTGGTAGAAGGCGTAGAAGTACGTGGGCGATCCATACCGGGCGTGAAGATCTGCCGTCACCACCGAGGGCTCCACCCACTGATGATCAGTAAAAAGCGCCACCAGGGTCTTACGGCGTGTCTCAGGGTTGTCTCTATCCGCCCAGTCCGTGTACATGAACTTAATGGTTTCTCGTAGCGTATCCTTTCCCTCTGGGTAACCATAAAGACTGTCCACAAAGTCAGAGACCGAGAAGTCGAAATCATTGCCCGAGACACCATCTTCAGAGTCCACAACGCTCTCTACAAAACGCAGCCCCTCACCCTGGTTAACACCCAGCATAATGTCATAGTTGAGAAACTCGCCCTGCTCCATCAGGATCTCAGGGTCATCGGGAATGACATCGCCGTCAATGACTGGGCCAAAGGCAACGTGGTATCTTGCTGGCTGGATGTCTTGTTCCACCAGCTCACGAGCGCTCTTCTTTCTCAGGCAATCTACCATGTCTAGTGTGTCCAGCACATTACAGCCCACTTTCTCTGCCAGCAGCCTTGTGTACTTAACCGGCTGGTAGTTGACAGCCCAGCTGGACAATGCTGAGCCACTCTGGATTATGGCACGATGAAACAGTCCTGCAGCAAGAGGAGAAAAAAACAATGCATTTTACACAATGCTTCACATCAGGAATAAATTAATATAAAGCAGGACTGGGAGTTTAATGTTTTCAGCATAGTTTGATTAAAGAGTTCTATTCAATTCTGTGCCTGATTTAGAGTAATGTAGTGTTATCATGAAAATATGAACATTAATGTCTTAATGTACCACATAATATGAAAAAAGCTGTAGATGGCCAAATGAACCACTTCCTTTTCTTTGCATTTTAAGCTAGCTTTCGCTAAGGAAGCTAATCGCTTAGTGTGTGTCCGAATATTACAACTTCCATACCATGTAGTGTGAGAAAACAGTACGGCAAAAGAGTAGTATGTCTGAATTCATAGTCTTTGAAAAACAGTAGGTGAAAAGTACCCAGATGATCTAGAGTACTACTTATGGTGAGATTCTGGAGTGAACATTCAGTGGATACTTTACTATTCCATGAAAGAGAAGCCGTGAATGGCAATGAAGCAACAAAACTGACGCTGGCAGGTCACATGAAAGTAACAATATAGCAGCTGTAATGCGTCCGAATTTCATTCATACTACCCAAATTCACACTATAGAATTTTTTTTTTAATGGTCAAACATTAAGATTCCAAGCAAATGTAGTAGCTACTCAGTATGTGATTATACACGCAACATTAGTCTACAAGCTTAGTGCTTAACAGCTTTGCTTGACAGCTTAGTACTAACTGATTACTTTGCTGAAACAGCTAAAACCAGCCTAAGCTGGTCTTACAGTAGGGAGGAGTGGGGTAAGTTGAGCCAGTGGGTAAGTTGACCCACCTCCTGTATCTTGGCAACTAGTTGAGTTGTGTTCTCTGTTTCCCTAGAGCACCTGGAACTAGCAGCATCAGGCGAACTAGGCCCTTTCTCCTCCTCTCTGATGCGCTGAGTTTTCTGGCTAGCTTGCAGTACGCTTACCCTTCTGATTTCTAACGATCGTGCTGTAGGTCGAGCCCCTCTCGTTGA